TAACATAGGGAAGAAATCACTGGGCTATGCAATCCAATTTGAAAAGTACAAGTCTCATTGAATCGCAGTTGACTTCTAGTGCCTTCCTATAAAAGGGCACTGTCGTTTCCTCTTTCAGGATGCTTTTCAACTTCCCAATATAGCCTACAACCCTGACAGGTTGTAGACTAGACTGATTAAGACACCTACTGGTGTCTTAACAAAATACTAACCAAACTAACCGAAGTCGGTTTATTGAATGGATTTTGAATAGTATAGCTTCCCACATTAAGTCCCTTATGCTGCTAATATAAATATTAGCTATTCAAATAAAAGGAAAAGAATATTGATACTATACACATTGTATGGAGGACAGCCTTTCACAATTAGCTTAGCAATTTAAGGTATTATTATAAGACTTTAATAGAGAAATCAAAGTACCATAAATCTTTAGAAATGAGGTTTTTATGCAGAAGTAGAATTAAAAGCTCACACATTTCAAGATCATTTTTACCGTTTCAAATCTGTGTGATACTTGGGAAAGCCTTGCAATGTCTTCAAGATCCAAGTAAGACATGATGTACAGAAGCAATGTATCCGGCAGTCGCACCAGGAAATCAAAATTACCTCTGCACAGATTGAAGATATGCTCCAGAGTGCTTGATCCAAACACAATGGCTATTTGAACTGCAATTTTAGAAAATACAATTAAATCAGAGAAACTTAAATAAAACTAACAGATATTAAACAGGTTTATTGTTTACAATTTAGACAGTACTTAGGGAACCATTGTTGAAAGCCCACTGATCCTTGAGTTGGTGAACTTGGTTGAGATATTCAGTGTTATAACATACTTCCCTCAACCTCATCCTGAAATGAGCTGGGATGATTAATTCCATAATTCTGAGCAACATAACAATATAGTGATTCTTCTTTACTGTTCTCTACTAGGGCTGTACAAAGTATTTGAAAAGGACATATTGTAATACGCATTGCACAAGTGAAGCATCTGTCCTTAAAATATTATTGAAAGATTTGACTCAAAGTCCACACTTAGTTGCTTTTTATGTGCCTGCATACAGAGATAATGCTTCTATTGGGCTGCCAGAAAAAGCAAAAGCAAATCTTGAAATTGCAGGATGGTGAGAATAATGAAAATGAAGGCAACATGATGAAAGATAATGAAGAACGCTAACTGGCTGTAAAAGAAGACTTAACATAGAGATGGGCATCTCCTAGAGGCCGATCTTAGCATCATGGAGTAAAAGGGTTTTTTCTATTGTTTTGAGTGGAACAGAAAGTTTTGAAATGGTTTTTTAAAACTATGTTAAAATTACTGTAGAGCTTATTTTTTGTTTTTTATTCTTGTTTTTTACTTGAATAAGAAATTATGCTGATAATTTTAGCAATTGTGATCATACATGCTCACAAAATCTAGATGACTTTGCAAGACATGACTCAGGTTATCTTATCCAATTCTGGCCACAGGGTGTCTGAGCAATCCTCAGCACATTATTTAGTCAAAATCCTAGTGGCTTGGAGTGATGTCTTGATGCTTGCCCATTCTCAACAGGGTGCATATCATATTAAACAGACTTGCTAGATGATATTTCACACGGTAATATAATTTTTTAAAATTTATTTACTGCTCTTATAGTCAGACTGGAGATTCAAACCTGAGTTCGTACTTATGTTCAGTCTTAGTCACTACTTGTTTTATACTACTGGTGCTCCAGGTTTCTCTTCAATTGTTTTATATGACAGAGCTCCTTAGTGAATGAAGGAATTTACTGGGGTTGAGGGGCAAGCAAAAATTGTTTGATAGGAATTGCACTTAGTGTACTTATCACCTCTGAGTTTCAGAGACTAATCAAGTATATAATTAAACTATTTGACAATTCAATGGCAAAATCTCCAAGGAATCTGAATGACTTTCTGTAGAAATCTATTCAGCTGCATAAGATGAATAAGGTAGCATCCAAATGTGTCTTCCATCTATAAAATAGATAGTATAGACAGGGGTGGACTGCTGGGGGCTCACGGGGGTTCGGGGGAGCCCCTAGCTAAGATTCTGCACAGTTTGGAAAACCCCCACTCCCCCTCACCCTTCCCAGGAGTCCCCACGCGGCCTGTTTTGGATGCAGGTAAGTGCAGGGCACAGGCAAAGGCTCAGGGTAGGTAAAAAAAACGGGCCTCCAGGAAGTTCAGGAAGGCCAGAAATGGGCCCGTTTCTGGCTCCCAGAGAGCCCCTGGAGTCCGGGGAGGCTGTTTTCACCTTCCCGGAGGCTTGAGGAAAGCCATGATGCCGGAGGCTGACTAAGCCATCCACAACAATCCTGTGAGGTAGATTGAGAGAGGTCCGAAGAATAATGTCTGGCCCAAAGTCACTTACCTGGCTTTCAGGGCTGGGACTAAAACTCAGTCTTCTGGTTTCTAGCCTGATGCCTTAACCACTACACCAAACTGGCTCTTATGATGTATGGCTCTCCCTTTGTTTACATTATACACTTTCCAAGATAATGATGATGATGCAAAAATAACTGATATTGTATTTACACATTTTCTAGAAAACTAAGAGATTAATTCCGTTTCATAAGCTATAAGATACAACATAGATGGATTCAGATATTATCTTTCTGCTAATGGAATCTTCCCAACAAAGCATTTTTATCAAAATGGCTTCATTTAGGTAGAACATTCCTGTGTGGATGGAATCCTTGTTTAAACATTTCTTATTGACAATCAGAATGAACTGGAATGGACAATACACACATATATTATAGAAGTTCTGATGTGTATAGAATGATGCATTTCCACAAAATCATACTTCGTACAAAATTATTTTAAATAGCATGCCAAAACTCTGCATAAATTGGAAAACTTATTATTAGTATTACATTTGATTATTGTTCATAGTTGATGTTCATTTATTATTACAAACATTTAAACACTATTACCAGTTCTCCACTATTTAAAATGTTTATTCCATAAGCATTTTGCTATAAGCAATGTCTCATACAATGTTTTTCAGGGAAAACTAATAACTGACATACAATGGGTTGACAAATTTAATTTTACTTTATCTTTTCTTGAGATTAAACATTTTTTTATAACAGCATGTCTATGAATGCCTCCCGACATTACAATGGAACTAAGCAAAGATTGCTTAAAAATGACTGATGTTGTATTTGCCTACTAGCATCTTTTTGAAATTAGCCCTTCAGAATCTCTCTCCATCTTCTTTTACTTTAATCCAATTGTAGTTACGTAGTGTCTGCCTTCTTGGAAAAAAAATAAAGGCCTTGAGGCTGTTTACTGAATTCACTACATCTTTGTCTAATATAAGGTCTGCAGAATTTCCAATATTGTTGCCTAATCTTAAAAAGCTGATTTTTGTCTATCATAATCAACTTTTTACTACATACAGTAACTCATTGGGTGAAATAATAAATCCCTTTTTTATTATGAAATTCACATTGATATAATGAAAATTGGAGTGTGGCTGAAATATGACCAAGAGAGACATAACTTTGTCTAAAATCAGGAAAATAACTAATATATTTTATGCATTTCTCATATGTTTAAAACAGAATACTGAAGTCTAAGCTGCTGCATATAATGTGCAATGATTTGAAGTGTATACTTGATTTCTCTTCTTTGCGTATGTTACTTTTTGAGGGCATAGGGTTGAAATATACACTGTAATAGTATTACATGAATTTATATTATTATATTGTAATTATTTATGCACTTATTTATTTTGTTGCTTGCTTACTGTATACAGTAATGCCCAGGATTGTAGTTAAGAGTTTAAGCCAATTCACTTGCTGAGATGGAATAAAAACAAACAAATAGTATTTTTCTCCTATTATTTAGTTCATGATTGGGAATAATTAACCTAGCTTCCTGAATAATAAAGATCTAATTTTCCAAAACAATTCTGAATCATCTAAATTTTATGCAATTTTTTTACCAACTGTAAGTAAATGAGATGTAACACATTTCAAGTGTATTTTAGGGAATACAAATTCATATTTTGGAGGAAGATAAATTAGGAGGACTAAGCAGCACTTCAGCTTTCATCCGAAAAAATGGCTTTGGAGTATGGGGATATGAAGATTGCAACTCAAACAGATAAGATTTTTCTTGGGATTACAATTCTTGGAAATGTTATTTTGGTAGTGTTAGTTTAGTGGTAGTTTTGAATGTTATTGCATTTTTCATATACACTGCTCAAAAAAATAAAGGGAACACAAAAATAAGACATCCTAGATCTGAATGAATGAAATATTCTTATTAAATACTTTGGTCATTACATACTTGAATGTGCTAACAACAAAATCACACAAAAATTATCAATGGAAATCAAATTTAGCAACCCATGGAGGTCTGGATTTGGAGTTACACTCAAAATTAAAGTGGAAAAAAAACACTACAGGCTGATCCAACTTTGATGTAATGTCCTTAAAATAAGTCAAAATGAGGCTCAGTAGTGTGTGTGGCCTCCACGTGCTTGTATGACCTCCCTACAATGCCTGGGCATGCTCCTGATGAGGTGGCGGATGGTCTCCTGAGGGATCTCCTCCCACACCTGGACTAAAGCATCCCCCAACTCCTGGACAGTCTGTGGTGCAATGTGGCATTGGTGGATAGAGCAAGGCATGATGTCCCAGATGTGCTCAATTGGATTCATGTCTGGGGAACGGGCGGGCCAGTCTATAGCATCAATGTCTTTGTCTTGCAGGAACTGCTGACACACTCCAGCCACATGAGGTCTAGCATTGTCTTGCATTAGGAGGAACCCAGGGCCAACCGCACCAGCATATGGTCTCACAAGGGGTCTGAGGATCTCATCTCGGTACCTAATGGCAGTCAGGCTACCTCTGGCGAGCACATGGAGGGCTGTGCGGCCCCCTAAAGAAATGCCACCCCACACCATTACTGACCCACTGCCAAACCGGTCATGCTGGAGGATGTTGCAGGCAGCAGAACGTTCTCCACGGCGTCTCCAGACCCTGTCACATCTGTCACATGTGCTCAGTGTGAACCTGCTTTCATCTGTGAAGAGCACAGGGCGCCAATGGCGAATTTGCCAATCTTGGTGTTCTCTGGCAAATGCCAAACATTCTGCACGGTGTTGGGCTGGAAGCACAACCCCCACCTGTGGACGTCAGGCCCTCATACCACCCTCATGGAGTCTGTTTCTGACCATTTGAGCAGCCACATGCACATTTGTGGCCCGCTGGAGGTCATTTTGCAGGACTCTGGCAGTGCTCCTCCTGTCCCTCCTTGCACAAAGGCAGAGGTACCGGTCCTGATGCTGGGTTGTTGCCCTCCTACGGCCTCCTCCACGTCTCCTGATGTACTGGCCTGTCTCCTGGTAGCGCCTCCATGCTCTGGACACTACACTGACAGACACAGCAAACCTTCTTGCCACAGCTCGCATTGATGTGCCATTCTGGATGAGCTACACTACCTGAGCCACTTGTGTGGGTTGTAGACTCCGTCTCATGCTACCACTAGAGTGAAAGCACCGCCAGCATTCAAAAGTGACCAAACCATCAGCCAGAAAGCATAGAAACTGAAAAGTGGTCTGTGGTCACCACCTGCAGAACCACTCCTTTATTGGGGATGTCTTGCTAACTGCCTATGCTTTCCACCTGTTGTCTATTCCATTTGCACAACAGCATGTGAAATTGATTGTCAATCAGTGTTGCTACCTAAGTGGACAGTTTGATTTCACAGAAGTGTGATTGAATTGGAGTTACATTATGTTATTTAAGTGTTCCCTTTATTTTTTTGAGCAGTGTAGTTTATCTGTTGTAAATGACTGAATAGAAATCCATAATTATTTCCTATGCCACAAATAATGGATATTTCATCCCAAATTTTAACACTTTTTAAAAAAGATGTCAAATTATTAGCACTATATCAGTGGTGGTGAACCTTTTCGGCACCAAGTGCCGGAACGTGTGCGCGCGCAAAGACTAGCTAGGTGGCACATGGATGCACGTTAGAAACCAGAAGACCAGGTGGCTGGCATGCATATGCATGCTGGGAGCTATACTTTCGGTTTCCAGCTCTGCCACGTGTGCGAAGATCAGCTGGCCAGCGCTCATGCATGCATGAAGACCAGCTGGCTGGCATGCATGCGTGGGCCGGAATCCAGAAGAGCAACAGGTTATGGCTGGTGTGCCTGGAGAGATTGCTCTGCATGCCATCACGGCACTATATTATGCCTTCACATTTGTCATCAAAATAAAATAGTGTTATATTATTGGAAAGCCTAGTTTATATATAATTGTTAAAAATAGGACTTATCACATTTTCTTTAAACATGCATTTTCTTCAGACTAGTACATTCATTGAGCTATGACTAAATTCATAGTATTCTACTTTGGAGGGAGGGATCATCCAAGAAATCTTCATGAGATTCTTTGAGTTCTCCAGGCCTTGCTTCACGGTATTCACTCCGAAGAGAAATTTTCCACCACCTGAAAATCACCTATGAATGGAGAACAGTGACAAGTATTTAGAGAAATCATTTAGATAAATAACTGATATAGTCATTAAGAAGATGGACTGAGAATGGGGAGGCTCCAATTAGGCAAAGATGATTTAGAGCCAGTCACTTCTCTCAGTTCTAATCAGAATCAGGCTCTATGGCAAGCTTACTGAACATTTCCTGCTTCATTGTATCATGTATTGATAAACTCACTGCAAAAACAAGGCAAACACATGCAAAAAAGCAGAGCCTGCACATTAAGTGAGACACTCAGAACATTAATATTGATATAAAATAATTCAGGATGGACATTAATAAATATATTGGAATTTAAAGTCTCTAACTGGCTTCCTTCTGGGAAAACACATAACTTCTTTACTAGGTTTGCACATCACACTTAACAATGGTTCGTTTATTAATGATTTACTCAATCCAATTTTGCAGATTCACATAATATAGTTAACCACAAAATAATCACAGATTTCCATTGAGCCAAAATATGATTGGGTTATTTGTGATTCAGTCACATAAATATAATATAGGATTGACTTAGCCACGGAGGTGCTTGCACCAAAAAAGAGAACACTTCATATAGTCAGGATTGGGGATTGTCCAATTTTAATTTGACCAACAGACTTCAAATGCTGATAAAATATTTTGGGGAAATTCAATATTAAAAGTAGCGTTTCATATGCTGTTTAGAAGTTTGAGCTTAAAAATGCCCTACAAAGAATCAATTGCAAATAAATTACTTGTATTTTGAAAAGCTCCATATTTTGTCATCTAAAACAATGTGAAAGAATAATACTAATAATACTTCCTTGCAAAATATTTTATCTTTCTTTGCTACTGGATAGAGAAGGTACATCAAACACTTCGTTATAGAACACAAGATAAAATTATACTGATACACTTTAGAAATAAAGGTATTTCTTAAAGACGGACAGATAAGATGTGCCATGGAAATAGGTTCAAAATAATGTGTGGATCATGTTCTGGAATACATAGTTGTGCTAATCTCATTGGTCTATGGAATGCTGCACTGACGTAATATGTATATGCATTTTATGCTGTTATACAGTTTTACCCTCTTCATTCGGTAGAGTTTGTCAAATCAGGATTTCTGGTTATTATATATACCTGTGTTTCATAGTGCTATTTGGCTATATCAATATTTTAATCAATATTAGCCAAACATTATATAAAGAACCAATCAAGATTACCTAGTAAATAAGTCCTTAAGAAGCAGAGAGAAGAAAAAATACCAGATGGGATTCTGCTTTTATATTTAGTTTATTGACATGATGCATTCAAGTAAAAAAGCCCTTAGTGAGGGCTTATGTATAGTATTACAACCATATATTTAGTTATGATAGAAACTTTCTAAAGGTATTTTGATATTTCTTTTTTATCCATTTATTATTACTTTTAAGTCACAGATAATAGAAATATTACTTGGTATATAGTATTACCAAGAATGCAAACACTTAAAATTGTGTCGATTGAGAATCAGATTATATGCACATTTACAACTGCTATAATGTAAAACATTGTACAAATGTTTGATTGTAACTATAATTGTACCTTATACTGCCAAATAACAAACCATCTAATCTTAATCAAACTCAGATACAAATACAAATGTCACATACAAGAAACTTGTACTATGCATATCTATTGGTACTGTAATGAATCAGTTTAAGTTTGAATTGTACTTGTTATAGTGTTCACACACACACACACACACACACGGCATATAAGAAAGTATATACTTTCTTAACAATCCAAATATATTCCCAACAGTGGTGGGATTCAAATTTTTTTACCGCCAGTTCTGTGGATGTGGCTTGGTGGGCGCGCTTTGCGCATGCAGAGGGTTTGCTACTGACCTTCTCTTACAATTCTGCATTCTCCCTGTGTCTTCAACAGCTGACGCGTGGCAATCCGCTGTGCCGCGCGAAGCAGCTAAGTTTCAAAACCAGGAAATAAAGGTCAGAATAGAACTGGGGTGGGTGGGCGAGCCCAGCAGCTGATCATCGGAGCTACCTGTTCAGGTGAACCGGGCCGAACAGGTAGAATACCACCACTGATTCCCAAGGTAAAAAACATGGGACAGCTTTGTTACAACACAGCAACTTCCAATTCCCTTAAATAATTTTTGTTTTCTATTCTTTTCCCAAGAAATGAAGTAAGAATCTAATTGCATCTCTCATTACTTATCTAAAAAGATTTTTTTAAAACAGAAAATCTGTGAATAGTTTGCCTGGCACAACAGGAACTAAGAGACCTAAATCTTAACATGTTATGAAATATTGGCTACATACACACTGCCTCTGATTGTTAGAAAATAAGCATTTTCCCATGAAATTGTAAATAATGACTGCAAGGTGAATTGCAATTTCACACTTTACTTCCTCTTCCATGCTTTCAAAACAGAGCAGTTTTGAGGAACTGGAAGAAGAGTTACTTGGCTTGTTATTGAATATAATTTTTCACATCTATAATTATAACTAATTAAAAGAGTGGCAGAAAAACTGTTTTTGAAAAAAGTAAAAAGAAAACCTTAATTTATTGTACAGTTATCCACTGCAAAAAAAAAAACACAAAAAAAACAACAACAGGCAGATCTTTTTGGATACAAAATTTGAGAAACCATCCAACTGTTCAAAATTAAATCTATGAATACAACATTAATCAATTTGCCATATTTAAGAATACTAGTAAGATTGCTTTTAAAATCTTAAGACAGAATAGCTATAACACAGAGGTATAAAATGATTTTATCATTATTCCTTAAATAAGGAATGTTCCCTTCCTATTCTGATTTATATAAATATACTCATTAAAGTAATTGCTGAAAATCCAGAGATTAAATGCTGTGATATTTCCCACAATATTTCTTGAAAAACACATAGAAATGTTTTAAAGGTGAGCTAAAGTAAACATTTAGAATAAGCAGCTTTGGATCTTTCAGAAGATGATCCATCTTAGCAAAATGTTTTTAAAGATTTTTAAAAAAATGATATGCACTATTTTTAAAAAAATGATATGCACTATATTTAACTGGATTTACTTGGAATCTTAAATCACCATGATATAAGATTCAGCATTTAATGAGAACCTAACAATGATTAAACAAACCATTGATTGGTGTCATTTGTGAACCTAGCCAGAGAGCAAAATTGTGGAGTGAGAGCAGATTCATCCAATAAAATTTAGCCAATCTCTCATTCTTCTTAAAAATGATGAGTATACACTCAAAACCGTATCAGGGAAACTGGGTGGCTTTCTTCCATTTTAGCTTGACTTTGAATTTGCACATGAGTTGTTTATGATCTATTCTACAGTCAGCCATAGTCTTTGCTGTTATAATTAAGCTCTTTGTGCTAATAATATCTGTAGTTTTATTTCTGTGTACACCATCTGGTGATATTTATGTATATAGGTATTGATATGGTCATTGGAATATAGTGTAAGCAAGGAAGAAGTGATTGGACTGGCAGAAATTGTAAGTTGATCTGCTTCATTTCAGTTTCTTAAGTCTATACAGCTGAATTACATTTTCCTTTGTAATATTTCCAACTTTGGTAATCCAGTCTCCAAATACAAGCAGAACATCTTGCTTACATATTTTGTCAACTTCAGATTAACCCCCTCTTCTTCTGCATCAGTAGTTGGAGCATAAACTTGGATAAGTGTCATAATAAATGGTTGCCTGTGACGTATATTTTATACTATTTAATTGATTGCGTTGTTCCCAAGTACAGCCTTTGTTTTAGCTTTCTTGATTATGAAAGAAACCCTGCTTCTTCTTGGTTTTTCATATTTGTAGTAATAAACAGTATGATTTTTTGATTGAAAATTTCCAATTCCAGTCAATTTCAATGCAATGATACTAGACAGTTCAATGCATAGTCAATTTTGTCTTTCATTGTATGAACTCTCCCATGTAGATGCATCTTGTATATTTTTTCCACTATGTCTTTGCAGCTTCACATTTTCCTTTTTTGTATAGCAACCTCAGCAATTAGATATCTCAAAGGCTTTAATCTAGCCATTTTGTAAACTTCATTAATATTCCAAAAGATACTCAGTTCCTCAATAACATGTTGAGTCAGTTAGACCTAAGAGGCCAATCAACCATTACTATTATCAATAATTTTATATTATCTATTCACTGTTAAATTTAGGGGTGGTTTGCCACTGTCATCTCTTCTGTGGTATGAAATGATGTCAATAATCATCTGCCTCCAGTATCTTGCTATGTTGCCAATGCACAATAAACATACCTATTTGCTTTAGCAAAACAGCTTTGCTGGGATTATATAATCACAATGTACACACCTGGCATTCTTTGCTCACCTCTCCTAGAAACTGTCTGTCATCTCATGGAGGCAGGAGAGAAGGATTTGAGGGAGCAGGTCTTCTATTAGGAAATTATTAAAATATGTTCTAGTGTTGAATGAATTACTTTTTAAGCAATCTATCTTATTCTGTTTTTTTTTAAAGTGACAATTCAGTTACCAGAAAAATACATTTTTATATTTACTTAAAAGCAACTGTAAGGAACCACAATTGTGCCAGGTGCAGTGCTTAACTGAAATCTGGCAATTTTAACTTAATCATCTGGTTTCTGAATTCTTGCCCTAATTTATCTGCTCAGGTTCTTGTATTTACTACATACTGATCTTTTCTATGCACTTCAAATAGTAACAGTTTTTGAGTCAGAGGTGGCATTCAGCAGGTTCTGACAAGTTCTGGAGAACCGGTAGCAGAAATTTTGAGTAGTTCGGAGAACTGGCACATATCACCTCTGACTGGAGATTTTACACTATCCTTCCCATGCCACGCCCACAGAACTCGTAGTAAAAATTTTTTTGAATCCCAGCCCCTTGCTACTAAATGGGCTGTCTGAGTATGGGAATAAAATCCAAAGAAGATTGAGGACATAATACTGATTTGTTTAGTGCATGGTTTCTAAAACACTAGTACTAAAAAATATTTACTTAGAAATAAGAAATATAAAACACTCAGCTCTTTCAAAGAAGCTTTCATGTAATTTTGTAGATGTAAAAGCAAAAGCATTTATAGTATTTATTTTTCAAAATTATACTTATTGCCTATCTTTCTCTAGCTAGTTGTTCTTGAACAAGCATATTAAATTTTTCAAACTATTTTCCTTGCTCATGTACAATAGGGAACGAATGTAACAAATCAGGAATTTTATTTATCAGTAAAATGAGAAAGTGAGATATACATGTCAGCTTCTGCCTCTCTTCTATTTGGAGGCATACAGATTATGAATCATAAACATAAATTTTATTACAAAGGGCTTAATTAGATTTATTATTGCTTTAGTTACTGAACATCTTTATACCAGTTATTTGAGGCAAATAAGTATCAGAAATTGGCAAATTTAAGCAAATTGTTGCTTTCCAGATATTACTATCACTTTTAGAAGTTCAGACAATGGCCATGCCGACAGAGGTTTAGAAGTGTTGTAGCCTATTCCTATCTCAGCATTAAAAGTTGAGGGCCCCATCCGCGAAAATCATCTTATAAATTGCACCTGGGCATTTTTGTTTTGTTTTGTTTTGTTAGCCGGAGCTAGCATTAACATTGCAGTCCATCCTTACATTCCAGCACTGAATCAGAAACTGTCGGTAAAAAGAGGAGCACACGGCGAATTCCCCCCTCCCCCCGCTTTCCTTCTTTTATTTTGCCCGCAAGGAACGTTGTTCTCATAAAAAGTAATCGACATTCCTTCTTTCCCTTCATCGGGGCACCGTCCACTATTCTTTCTTCTTCGATACTTAAGTCACCACCCTCCAAGAGAAATGCCAAACAAATCTCTGAAGGCCGATAAAAAAAAGGGGTGGGGGAGAAAAAATGTATACTCACCTCCTTCCTAGTAACGATGATTTGGTAGAAGTCTTTGCTGGGCGACGGCGCTTGTCCGCGCGTCTCGAACAAAGTATCGTCCAGGAGAGACGCCATTTTAGGACGCCAACTCCCAGTCGCTCTGGCAACCAGGAAGGGGCGGGCGAATGGAAGGTCACTGGAAGCTCAGCCCCCTCTCTTAAAGGAGACGACCAGTTTTTAGGGATAGAAGTCTCGGAGGTTTTTTATCACCCCCAGGAAGGAAAGAGAGACCTCGGAATCGCCACCGTTGGTGGGGGAGAGAGCGGACGGGAGCGATCTCGCCGACCCTGAGGGGAATAACGCTTGCACGTACCCCGGGGGTGACGACCCCAGCGGAGGGATACCTCTTTTCCAGCCAAGGAACGTCTGAGACGAGCGGAGGGGGACAGGAAGGATAGAACTACTGCCGATCTTTAAGAGAAGGAGGGGGGCTGCCGGCTCCGCGGCAGGGAGCGCAGACACAGGGAGGAGGAGAACACCCGCTGCTGGCGAGGGGGGGAGAGGGGGGCCCTCGGCCCCCTTTGGGGGTGAAGTAGGCCCCGACCTCCCCTTACGCCGCTGGAGGGGTACGGTAGCGGAGGCAGACGGCGCACTGATCGGTGCTGCGGCTTCAGCTGATAATTGAAGGGAAGAGGCGCCGGGCAGGACAGAAAAGGATCCAGGGCTACCGTGGAGGCACGGAGCGCTTTTGCGGAGGCCGCGTCGGGACAAACTAGGTACTGTGCGAAGGAGGGAAGGAGGGAGAAGACAACACGGGCGGCGGCGTTCACTTCTTTTGCTCGGCGACGCTTTTTTTATGGGAATGGAAGGTCCCTTCGTTTCCTTGCCTGTTTTTTCCTGAGGGCCGAAGTGGGGGATGGGTGGGTGGGAGGGAAGGGACTGTTTTGAGGAGCCTGACAGAGGAGGCTTGTGGCGAGGGATGTCCTGGGCCGGGGAGGGGAAGGAAAGAAGGGCAGAGGACTTAGTTGGCTGTCTCATGGGTCGAGGCCTTATGCAGGTATGAGGAAGTAATCGGCCAGAAAGGAAAGGTGCTTTTTATTACCGAGGTGGGAAAACTCTCAGGGTCAAGGTGTTTCTCCCCCCCCCCCCCCCCCCCTCGCCCCAAAGCAACGAAGTGACGAAAGGGAAGCCAGGGTGGCAGAAACGGAGCTGCTAAAATGGCCAAGCGGTAGGGTGAAGCTTATCGTGATTCAGCCCTTCCCTTCCTTTCTTTTCCTGTCTTTCTTTTGCTAGCTCTGATGTATCAAAAGGGTGAATTTGAAGACCCAGTTTATAGGCCCCTTTTCCAACATTGGCGAAAACGGACTCGGGCTCCTTTCTGCGGTTTGGGCCTATCCTAACCTCTTTTCCTACTTTGCTCTCTCCCCCCCCCCCCCCGCGGTAAAGATTGTCTTTATGGTTTTGTGTGGCTGTTAGATACAAAACGGCAGCTTTAATGTTTATCCTGAATCCGATTTGCATTTCGCTGTGCCTCGCTTCTCAAGTCCTCAGCTAATCACTATCTCCCGCCCCCCCCTCTTATTTTTTTCTTGGATGCTGTTATTGAGCCCCCTTGAATACTCTTAGGAGAAGCAAGGAAAAAAAATCCTTCTCAACCAGACATAACACTTCTTTTTTTTAAAAAAAAGCTAAATTATCAGTTGACTTAATGCTGGCTTTGGGGGCCGAAAACTGGGGAAATCATATTGTGTAGTTGGGGGGGGAGGTGGGGGGGGGAAGAAGAAGAATGGTCGTTAATAGATTCCCTTAGGTGTTGAATCCTAATACTGGAGCAGATTGTTTTCTTCCTGTAATTTTAGAGCTGGTTTGTGTTACTGGTAAATTCGAGAAGAAACAAGCCTAGCTTGTGGTTTGTTTGCATAACGCGTCGTATTTAGATATTCACATCCCCCCTCCCTTTCCTTCCCGCACGACAACTTGAGCTTCTGCCGACTAGTACCGGGCTAACATTCAAAGTGATCTCGAGGCGTTTGCCAGCCTTGCAGGCCGAGCTGCCTGCTGTACAACTTTTATTGTTCCTTTCTCCTAATGGGCAGTCCTGTCGCGGTGGAGATGGGGTGGTGGTGTTCTTCCTAGTGGGCTTAAAAGACATCAGGAATTTGAAAAAGTTTACATTAGGAACAAGAAAACATTAAGGCGGGGAGAATGGAAAGTTTTGTTTAAGAGCTTTTAAGAAAGAAACATCGATGTATGGAACAAAGGTTCTGTCTGTATTATAGAGGCCTACATACTAGGCCTGACTATGTCGCATTTACCGAGGAAAGAAATGAAAGCTTGGCATTGGACTACAGTCAGTGTCTGGAACGCATTTTAGAAACATTTCTAGAATTCGTTAGACTTAATTTCAGGATTGCTTTGTCAGTGTAGCCCTGATCTAATAATTTAACGGGGAATTCTGCTTACTTTTAAGCTTTTCATTATTAGCCCAGTTAATTAACTAAGCATTGAATTGATACAGCTTTAAAGCCACATGCCATTACTCTTTTGACCAAGTCATTTCCCTATTTTATAATGGCTTTATTACAAGAGTAGGTAGTACATCTGTGAAAGGTTATGAAATAAGAGTTTGTTCTTTGTTTCATCTAATCCTATATTCCATAAATAAGGAATTATTTTCTTTACCAATCTTTACCAATTGATGACATGTTTACAGCCTGCCTCCATATTAACAGACATGTTGGAAGGGTGAAATTTTATTGGCCAACAAAATCACATTTCAAAACTTTTGAAATTTCAAGTGTCAACTATTCATTTTTCATAATTTGCATTCAATATATCAATATGTTTCTATTCAAGTTTATTAACTTGAATAATAGTGTTAGAATTATTTTGTACACATGCAGTCTATTGGTTAAGAACCTTCCACTTATATAGTAATGTTGAATTGATGTCATTCTTACTAAACACTGATTAGGACTGGCATTTTATATATTTGAGAATGTGCTGTATTAAATTTGAAGTTCCTGATTAGGTTTAGGCTGTAACCTACTCTTAAATATTTTAAAATAAACACACTTGCATCAAATAGTTTAAAGAAAGGCATTAGAATCTTAAAAAAAATTAAAAGGGAGTGTGTGTTTGAGATATTAAAAGGTGTCCTTTATCCTAACCACTTAGTATACAGTAGCCTTGTACTAACAGGTGTTGTTCTACTACTAATTATGTTTGAATATTTCCTGTACTTTTGGGGGAAGTGGGAGATGTCCCATGCTGACATTCTTTTCCTCTATATTGTTGTCAGATAAACAGATAGGATAGAGGCTATACTGAATACCTAGGCAGAAGGCTATACTGTCTGTATCTCTGTTGACTGGCTGGCTCTTCCCAAGTATAGGAAATACATTCACTAATCAAATAAGAAATATAAAGGAGAATGTATGATATCAGCAAAGTACTGGGAATGCTAATGTGGTCGAAAAGCTGGAGATAAGAAAGGTGTAAAGCCTAATAAGGTACAGATACAGGATAGTTGAAAAGTATAAAGAATTAGTAACATTTTGTTACGCTTTTTATGAATTATGTGTGTGTTCCTAGAATTAAATGAGTTTAGTATAGTAGATTTTGAAGTTATATGGAAATATTTTGGAGGCTTTATTATCTTGCTTTATAGATATGATGCTGGCACCTAGGAACTTTTCAGTTGAGAATATTTATCTGCTTTATACTTTGGGATGTTTAAAAGGCATGTCTGAGAACACCAGATTGTATCGGGGAGAAGAAGACAGTGTAAACAGGTTACCTATATACATTTGTATTTTCTCTTTTTCTTTATACTTGAAGTAATAGAATACTCTGAAATAATTTCCACTAAGGCCCTTAGATTCAAAAATATAAATGAAAAGGACATTCTAATAAACAAATCCTGCAATTTCTTTAATTGAAGCTATTTAGCACAGCATTCAACTGATTTGAAGATGTCTGACTGAAGGAATTATTAAAATGGAGTTGCTGAAATTTTTAATGAATAATGTAAAGTTATGGGCACTTGGGCCCTGACAGTAAGAACATCCTACTTAGTAGAAAAACTTATTAATAGCATCCTGAGATTGTATTTTCCTGCATTACAATATTTTCAACTTTATTCAAAGTTTTAGCTATATTGTACTCAATGTATTGTTTTCCTGATCAGGTAAACTTGTCATTTCTGCTTCCTGTTAAATTTTGATGTAATAATTCTGTGTGTGAAATGGTTGATGTTAGTAATATTAGACACTTTGAGGTGACCTTTCCAAACTATTGCTGCCAAGAATTTTTATTCTTTTATTCCTGTTTTTGCAGTAAAAACAACAACCTCCAAAACAGTTGTGTAGTAGATATGTCTAAGCTGGTTTTCCTTGAGCTGGTGGCTTTTATATGTGTTGGGACTATAGTTCCTAGCATCAGAATAGAAATTGTTAGTTAAAAATTCTAGGGCAGTCCCAACACATGTGGAATATGTGAGATCGGAGAAAGATAATCTAAGCCAATTTAGACTTAATTTAAAACTTCAATGTTGTTAATATAATGTAGATAGCCATATATTTAAATACATTGTATTAGTACTTCTAAATCTTTTAATCTCTTAATATTAAATCCTACAACTCAAAGAATCTGGGTTCCTTTAGGCTGTTTTTCAAGTAGATTTGTTTATGAGTGCATACATAAAATTTGAAATTGTGTTGCTAAAATAATTTTTATTGCCACAATTGTAAGTCTGAGTGAGAATTAATAAAACTATCTCAAAAACATCAAGATCAACATCAACATCTAGCTAATTTTGCCTAATTTAAGAAAATTAACCTGCATTAGTTCAGATTAATATTTTGTGGGAGGCCACTAGGACCTAGAGCCTGAGAAGTAAAAAAGAAAATCCCAGAAGAGGGCAGTGGCAAACAACTTCCATATTGTTTCCAAGAAAATTATACATGATTTGTTCATGAATTACCAGAAATTCAGTTCTATTCAAATTAAAATTTCTAACTAAAGTAAAACCTTTTATTTTATTTTGCTTTTTAAGAGCAACATTTTCAAAGGCTGTTCTTAATCCTAGGCTCTAGAAATACTGTTTGATATGCTGGGTTCCTATTCTTTTAGCATCGTTAAACAGTCACTTTG